AGCAATTTTCCTCTTAGCTCTATTATACTTGATACTTTAGAATAAGTATTTTTGCTTTCTTCTTCTACTTTTTCTCGTTGTTGGCAATGATTCTTCACTGAAAATCTCTTGTGATCTTCCAGAAATCTTCAGAATAATAAAGCAAGGCCACTAGACATAAGGTTTTTCACAAAACCTAGGACTGAAAGTTGTAAAAACATTGGTTGTTATAGAAGAATGGTGTTGGATAGAAGTCAATTGATATGACCAACACTGAATTGGTCGATTATAATGGTAACGACACAAGAAATTGATTTTCCCCACTCATCAATGACATGTAATCACATATTGACTTAGTCAGATGTCCTAGTATGGGACTCCTCAACAGTGCGCACCCACGATCCTGCACTCCGCGAGCTTCGAACCCAGGACCTACCAGTCTCGCATCAGGCGCTTAACCAACTAGACCACTGAGCCGGAATCCAATGGTCAGATGTGTTGATTATAGACATCTTATTGAATGATATCATAATGCATTCAAAGAGTTAGCTAATGACTATTTGATTTTAAATACAAATTACACTAATTTGACTGTTAATAAATTACATAAAAAGTTGTGTATGCAGATATCATTTCAACTTCTTTACGAGATCAAATAAATCTATATCGGCTGTATTTATGTTTCGAGGTTTCCATTACTGGCACAAGTCAGTTAAGCATTCGCCGATATAACAGTGATAGACATAACCACTTGTCTCACGACTCAACTAAATTTGGAAATACCGATTCCTAGAAAAATTTGAGGCGTATTAAACTATGCTAAAATAGCTGCCCATTACCTTCTATTTTATTTTAACACATAGATATTGGTATAAAAGAGCACCAGATACATATGTGATACACAAATCTCATTTGATTTCTGTCAGGGCCGTGATACTGCTCGGGTGCCCAAACCGATGCAGGTGGTTTTATTAGGTGGCCACACACAGAGTCTTCGACCTGAAGGTCTAATCCACAAGGCAGTGGAGTACCGTGAGGAGATGCAGTCTCATGGTAACCGGTGACCAACGATTGGTTCATACGACATTTGTTCCTTCAGGATACTGAAGCCCATGTGCACCATTGATATGGGATCAGGGTTCTCCAACTCCCCTAGATGGACTCTCTATATCCACCAACCCAGTTGAAGCGCCAGACATTCGATTTTCGCCCTCTCAATTTCGTAACCAACAGTAATACCGAGAGAAAGCATTGAGTAGGACTTCATTGGCAGAGGCTATATACGCGTGGTCATGTGAGAGCATTTTGAGAGGGAGAGCGGATTCTCCCCACTGTCAGCCGTACTAGGGCATTTGGGGACACAACCTTATCATGAAAGTATAAGATTTTTGGATGAAGATTGGTAAGGAGATCTATACGTAGACAATACAGTTATTCTGTAATTCCTTGTGTCTAATAGTTGTCCATACTGGGATTCAATGAATCGGATTAATTACCTACAAATTCAATAAATTTCATAGAGAGTTCATTTGAAAAAAACCTTCTTGTTTAATGGATCAAATAGAGAGTTTTGTCAACCTAATATAGAGATAACTAAATAAGTAGAGATGAAAAATAACCAACCATTATTGTTTGATATCAGATTACTTTTGACAACTACTACCTAATTCGTACAATAAATAGAATTTAGAAAAGAGCAAGAACAAAGATTCTAGTAGAATAGCATGAATTCATTTTATTTCGTAGGTTCTCGTCAGCTGCTTACAACCTGTGATATTTAAAAATCATAATTACATAATGGGTTTTAATTGCTAACTGAATATTGTAAATATATACCTAATGTGAAAGAATATTCTACAACATTAATTGTGACAACAGTTCAAAAGTGGGTTAGAAACAATCGATTACATAATGAATAACATTGAAGGAATGTAGTGAGTAGAGTTCAGTTGAAAGATTATTAATTTGAAAGACTTTCAATGATGTAATAAATGCAAAAGAGAAAAAATTTATGGTGTATTGAAGGAATATTTGTCACCAGGGCAAGGAAAGATTAACCACCGTCTCCTTTTGAATACATAGGTCAGGTTTTTGACGCCTGATGGCAATGGCTTCAGAAGACTGGAGTTTGGCTGCTTACTAATCACCCTAAAGGATTGTAAGGTATCTACCTGATGTCCTGTATCAAGAGATGTTTGGTGATTGCACTGTTCAGAGTCTTCCTTTCCCTTGTTCTAAGACTTTTTGAACATGTTCAAAGAATCTAAGTCACTGAATCACCTTGTGACAGTACGTTGCAGAATATCAAGAGAAGTGACAAGGGTCAAGTTTTATGGTGAATGTCTCACGTCAGGCTGTTTCCCACGTCAGTTTGTAAAATCCTTACGTTCATGTAAACTTCCACCATTTAAAACAGGTTACCGCCAACTGTATTTATAAATTCACGTGTACCTGCCAAAGCAGCTACATCGGCCGAACTGAAAGGAGAGCATATCTTAGATTCTTTGAACATGTTCCAAAAAGTCTTAGAACAAGGGAAAGGAAGACTCTGAACAGTGCAATCACCAAACATCTCCATGATACAGGACATCAGGTAGATACCTTACAATCCTTTAGGGTGATTAGTAAGCAGCCAAACTCCAGTCTTCTGAAGTTTGCTGAAGCCATTGCCATCAGGCGTCAAAAACCTGACCTATGTATTCAAAAGGAGACGGTGGTTAATCTTTCCTTGCCCTGGTGACAAATATTCCTTCAATACACCATAAAATTTCATTTTATTTTATTTTTTTCTCTTTTGCATTTATTACATCATTGACTCTATTTTATTTTTTCAACCGTCTTTCAAATTAATAATCTTTCAACTGAACTCTACTCACTACATTCCTTCAATGTTATTCATTATGTAATCGATTGTTTCTAACCCACTTTTGAACTGTTGTCACAATTAATGTTGTAGAATATTCTTTCACATTAGGTATATATTTACAATATTCAGTTAGCAATTAAAACCCATTATGTAATTATGATTTTTAAATATCACAGGTTGTAAGCAGCTGACGAGAACCTACGAAATAAAATGAATTCATGCTATTCTACTAGAATCTTTGTTCTTGCTCTTTTCAAAATGATAAAGGGAACTATGTGTATGAAATAGAATTTAGGTCAATATTTAGTTAGGTTTTTTGAAGGATTAAAATGATGATACTGGTTAGATGTTAAGTTATAAACGGACGATGAAGAGTAGTTAGATAATACTAAGAAGCAATTCCATGAGGTATCATAGATGAGATGACCCGGTTAAGGAGTCTCCAGCGATCCAGTATTACTTGGCTTAAAAATTGGTCTTACAAAGGTTTGGCGCCCGTAGGTACACTTTATAACTTGTAGACTACACGAATCTGAGATGAAGCTGATTGATCTCATTATCTTCTTGATTTCTTTTAATATTTGATTAGACAGAACTATCATATACAACCAGATGGCATATAAATTTATTTTCTGAAATGCATTTTGGGTAAAGGAGATAACCACGAAATATTATATTTCCTGTTTGGGACTTGTTTAAAACACTATTTCAGAGGCTGCCAACATGACAAGTATATGTTAATGTTTCTACTGATTGGAAGAAGATAAGAAACGAGTAATTTGAGCTGAGATATAGAAAGTTGGTATATTATCTGTATATTCATTAAATATCAGATAATCAAACCTCTGGTACATGTCAATATTCTTCAATAAGGCCTATTGTCCAATTTGTCAAAATCTATTCTTCCTAAGTAATTCAAAGCGATTTTGATTGAGAAGGTATCCACTGATTAATTTAATCAATTTCATTGATAATTCCTATTCATGATTGTTAACAATACTGAAAACTGTACTCAAATTAATTGAATGACTAGATCCAACTACTCAAAGTATACAACGCTACCGTATTACTTAGTCAACTGACTTTATATTTAATCTGTTTCATGAAACAGAAGCAACAGTTTAAATTAGACATCACAATTATTTTTACTCAGTGTATACATGTTCTTTATTAATTCATTTTATTTTTTCACAAGTAAGCAATATTTACCATTCTTTCAATAAACTTATTTTAAATACATACCCTCAGCAACAGCCTACAGTGGGAGAGAACAAACTAGCTTCCAACTAAAGAGGAAATTAGGAAACGATGTTGGAAGTGGATATGATATACATTACGGTATTCATCAAACTGCATCACGAGGCAAGCGCGAACTTGCAATTGTGAAGGAAAACTGTTATATCCTAGTGAAGATTAAATTACGGGTAACTTCTGAGAACTTTTAATGGACTAATGTTATATATATATATATATATATATATATTCTTATTGTGTGCGTTTTCAATATCCTAATAATGTATATCTACTCCTCTTATTATAAGGTTCATTTTGACCAATACACTATTATTATACGATTTAATGTTCTTACATTATACTGAGTTCATTGATTACAGTCTCCCACGTTCAGGGCCACTTTGTGGGTTTGATCCTGTATTTTTGCTATTTCTTATTTTATGGTCTGATGCGGTCTGTCTGACTAATATACAAACGAATTATGTTTGAAATAAATGATTCGCATAGTGGAAGCTCTCATTGGTGTTCTGGACCTAACTGAACGGGCTAGGCGAACAAATGACCAACAAAGACGCTAGGCTGCTCATACCAGTTGAACATCATTGGTTTAGCACAATACTAAGATTGAATAAATCGTGTTTCGATTGGCGAACAAATCAGTTAATAATTAGTCAGTCTTGAAGTCATAACAGAAACTGTAAAGAGGAAGGCCGAAGAACACATTACTTCAGGAATTGGAAGCAGACATAAAAAGAATAACTAGCAACTGGAAAGGATTGCGTAGGGCAGAATTGATTGGAGAATATTAGTGAGCAGCCTACGTTCCTCGATTTGGGGATAAAAGACGTAAGAGAGAGAGAGAGAGAGAAAGAAAGAAAATACAATAGTTTATACAGTAATTACAATGAAATATTCAACTTACTAGTTGTAGTTTCACTATAGATACATTCTTCTTCTTTTTCGTCTTCATTATTATTATTATCTAATGAATTTGTTAATCGTTTTGAATGATTTGATGAAATCTGGAAAGATTTTATCCTCCTATCATTTTTTCTGTCTTTAATTATATGTAATGGTATATTTGTACTTAACCATATAGGTAATATATATACATGATTTGATTCACTTATTTCATCCAAATTATGCTCATATTGATTAGATAAAGAGAGTGTATGCTCTTGGGTATTACTGTCATTATTATTATTATTATTATCAGTATGATTACAGCTATATAAATGTTCTAATGCAATAGACTGTTCAATAGGATAATTATTTTTATAGGATGATAAATGAGAATCATTGATTGATTGATCCGTAGTTTGTAACTCATGATTATCATTATTATGATTAGTATCTATATGACTATTCATAAAATGTAAATTTTCCTCTATCAATTGTACATCTTTATCTAAATATTCTTCCATTGAATTATTATTTACAGAGGAAATATTAGCTTTCATTGTATTTTCAATATAATCGAATTTATTTGTTTTATTATGATCATGATTATTATTCTCACTACTGATATCATTATAAATATTAGTAGTAGTAATTGTAGTTATCGTTGAATTAATCATACTATTTATATTATTATTATTATTATTTGGTATGATATCAGTTGTATGTTTATTAGCTTGGATAAATGGTGTAGTTATCGATTTCTGATTATTGATTTTATGAATATCTGATTGAGTACTATTACTATTATTATTATTATTGTTTGTATTCAATTGTATAGATTGTTTGAATGTTTTCTTAGGATAATACATAACAATAAGCGCTTCTAATAATTCAAATAAAAATATACAACTAAATCCAATAAATAATGAACATAAACCACCAACTTCTGAAAATAATTTAGCTAATGAAAAAATTTCTTCTTCCATAGCAACTTGTACACTTTCACTACGTACTAATTTTAAACGACTTGTTAATATTGGTAAACCATCTTCAAATCCAGGTAAACGTACTTCACTATGTTTTATAAATTTAGTTTGTATACATGGTAATGGACATGTTTCATAAGGAATTTGTTCATCTTGACATTGTGTACGTTCACATAAAAAATTAGTTTGTGTTGATGTACGATTAATTGATAATAAATCTAATGTACATGTACAATTACAATTATATGCTACTTTTGTACAACATTCAATCCAACCGCATGCTTCACGACTATATAAAAATTCTGTACCAAATAAACTAACTGTATTTAATTTATTAAGACGTTGTTCATTAGTTTTTTGTTTTAATTTAATTTTAGCATATTGTAAATAATTTGTTGTTTCACTAGCAAATGTTTGTTGTTTATTTTTCATTCGAATTGTATCCAAATAATCTAAATACCATTGATGATGATTATGATGATCATGATGATCAGGATCAGGATCAGGATCAGGATCAGGATCATTTTCATGATTATTATTTCTAGCATTAGGAATTGTATTAAGATCATAATCATTCATTTCATTAAGTATTGTTGAATTATGTGATGTTATCCTTGTTAAACTATGTTGTTCTTTATTATTATTATTATTATATTCTTCATTAATATCCATTGTTAATTCAGATGCAATAAATTTTGCATCAGCACCAACATGACATGGATTTCTTCCTGTATTTAAACGTGTTGTTACAGATTTTGAAAAATATAATGAAACAGATGTATCCGGTGGTAAATTTGTATGAATATGACGATCATATGCACTAAATGGTAATTCACCACGTTCATGTGTTATTAATATAAATGTAACACGATTAGAATTTTCTAGATTATTTTCTTGTTTAATACGTATTTCTAAATAAGACCATGATTTTTCTACATTATTTGATCGTAATTCAAATGTTGTACATAAAAAATTTCGAATATTTGGTACCTAAATAAATAAAAATCAATAAATATGAACATAGATCTCCTTCTTTGTTTAAAAAAACCAAGTATATAATTGAAACAATTATTAAGATTACTTGCTTACTTATGCCTGTTACTCCGAATGGAGCATAGGCCGACGACCAGCATTCTTCAACCTACTCTGTTCTGGGCCTTCTTTTCCAGTTCCATCCAATTCTTGTTCATTTTTCTCATATCTTTCTCCATTTCCCAGCGTAATGTATTATTTAGTCTTCCTCTTTTCCTTTGGTCTTGGGGATTCCATGTGAGAGCTTGCCTTATGACGTAGTTGGCTGCACTTATTAATATTAATACTGTTTTATTCATCTTATATTGATTGTTTGAATCGTTTCATTAATGTTTTGGACTGCAATCAATCAGTCTCATATTTGACATGTATGTATATCGTTTAGATTGCTTCGATATTGTTTGTAGTTATAAGTATTATACATAGAGATGAATTACGGCTAGCATTGGAATTCAGAATGCATGTTTTGTTTGTATTTGGGACTTGACAGTTGAATGTACCTATATTCGAGAGTTGATATTGATTCCGAGACTCAAACTCAGTACCAGTGCTAAGTGGATAGTTCGATGACGTTTTTAAGCGAACGGTACTGGGTTTGAGTCTCAGAGTGGACATCAAATCTCCGATACAGATACCTTCAGCTGGCGAATCCCAAATAAGACAAAACACGCGTTGTGTATTCCACTTCTAGCCACCACCCATCTTAGTTTATAACACTGTTTTATGTTCTCATTTTTAATACGGCAGGTATTTTCAAAATTATTACCTGCTGTGTTCTTAGTTTAAGGAAGTGTTAAGTGAGAGATGTCAATGGATATACAGTATTGGGCGAGATTTAGCTCAAATACTCAACGGATATATATATCGATGAGTTTGTAAATGTTTGATTCTGGTTTGATAATAAACTTTCTTAACCAGTTTTATTTTTCTCACTCAAGTAACACGGTTGGGCTTGTATACAGAAAGCATGTAAACCAATATTAAAATGGGACAACCACCCAAGTTAGAATTGCATTGTCACTTTTATTCTCTCTTAATAATTCATGGTTCATTTCACTGTCAAATAAGAAGTTATGCTCATTATTTTCTTGCCTCATATCATTCTTTCCATTTTTAACTGTATGAAACTACAACATTGATGTATATGGACATTCTTCATTTAGAAAAGTTTTATCATTTCCAATAAAACATGAAATTTAGATAAAAGATTTCTTTTCAATTAATTTCCTATTAACCTGTACATTTGTACATACCAATATTGAGATGGTAGAGTAGATTTATAGCTCATGTTGATGGTTTTGATGGATTTTTGTTCTTTGACCTGGATAGTTTAGTCGTGGAGTTTTCATCGTTCTTCTGAACGACATCATCAGCATCACATTTTATTGTTCTATCAAAGTTTATATTATTTTTATTAAAGTATAGTTTCATATTACAAAGACCTCAAAAAGTACATAGACTAGTTAATCTTTCGAAATATCAAGATTTTCATAATCTATACTCAATTATTATACAATATGTATGCCTAATCAGACATTTTGAAATGGTGGAGAAAATTATACACAAACATAGGAACAAAATCAAACCAATGGGAGATACAACTAAAACAATGAAGTAAACAATGACAAGTTTAACGTCAACAAGAATCAATCAACATCGGGGTCTAAAGGAAAAGTTATGAACCACATATGGAGAAATTCGAACACTTCACTTCTATCTGAAGTTTGTACTGATGATGTTGTTCAGAAGAACAATGAAAGCTCCATGACCAAACCATCAAGCTCAGAGAAAAAAACTCCATCAAAATAATGAAACATTCTCAAGTTGCATAACTTAACATCCTGACTTTATGACTATTGCTAAGCTAGAACACTAACAAATAAATGTAGAATTGTTTATTTGTAATAGTTCAGTATACTATACCTTCATAGATGGAATCGCTTATTTATTCAATAAAGTTATCTTTTAACAAAACTAAATTTTAAAAAAATAATAACAGAATGATAAGCTACCTCAGGGAATACTCTTATATTCTCATCATTCTGTTAACACCTTATGATTCAATATTTCACCATTTAATTAATTTAATATAATCTCTGTATCTAAGTAAAGGAAAAACTCTATGCCTTTTAATATAATATCATAAAAAGGGTGATTCAATATTCAATCATCACAACTCATCACAATAACACCTTAATCTATCCTCTTCTATATGCTACATCAATATTAAATCTCAACTCAATGGTTATTTAATTAAAATGTATGGTAATCATATGAAAGAACTATAGTATGTAGAAAAGTACTTAAGCTTGTATAATTTATACATTCTGTACTGAATTCATTTTAAAAGAAATCTCATTTCTTTAAAATAATTTGACAATATTATTCACACAAAAAGAAGAAAAAAAAGAAAAACAAAGAAAGAAAGAAAGAAAGAAAAAAAAGGAATGAAACAACCATGGAAGAAAATGTATTTTAATGGAATGGAATCATTTCAATCATTGACTAAAAGCATTTTTATTTTTATCAGTACATATTATCATAAAATTTCTATTGCCTTAGATACTATTCTCCGTTACATTGTTTCAGTCTTTGTGTATGGGTGTGTGTGTAAGAAAAAAAACACTTTTTTTTCTACAGAATTTTAAAAATTGCGAAATTTTTCAATGATTATGAAAAAAAAGAGGATCCACCGAAATGTAACTCTACTTCGAATCATTTTCTTATCTTGGAAAATGTGGGGAAAAAAAGTGGCTAATGTCTCATGTATCTTTTTATTCTCCTACCTCTTATACTGAAATTTACTCTCAAGGAATAAATATCATAAACTAACTGACTTCAAAGAGAATGATAAATAGAAGACAATAATGATAATAATAATAATGAGGGGAGAATAAAATGAATGGTGCATTGTTAGACCTAAGTAGATTATTGTAGTTAAATAGATGTAATGAATGTAGCCTTAAGGTAGAGTGGAATATGGTGAGAGACAAAAAAAAATGAAATGTGAAAATCAAATAATGGAAACATAGGCGATTAGAAATTCAATAGGAAGATAAAAGACAAATTGAAGAACAAAAAGAACACACACACACACATGAAGAATAAATAAGATCATAATGAAAATATATGTGAGATCATCATCATCATCATCATCATCATTATCAAGCATAGTGATAAATATGTGATACGTTTCTTTTGTCTTTTTACTTTAGGAAAAATAAACCAGATTTGGCATTAAAATTATAGAAATAAATATGTATATTTATTATCTGTTCAAATAGAAGTTAAAACATTCATTTAATGATAATTTAATAGATGAATACATGAATCAATGTAAGCTAGATCAGTATGGAAAAGCGGAAAGCACTGAATAGTCATTTCGTCCTGGATTCGAATCCTGAGTATAGAATCATGGATGCACAATACTGAGGGGTTCCATACTAGGATGAAACAGCTATTTAGTGCTTCCAGATTATCTATGATCGTCTAGCTTACATCAACTTACTACAGTTTCTACAAAAACACTATTCTGATCATAATAATAATTTGTCATACTGTAATTTATTATAATACTAGTTAGTGTGTTATTGATAATGTATTTATTCATTCATGTTGGATAATGAGATTGTCTGTAAATAAATCTAATAAGCATTAGATACCATTTTATATATTTGATGGCACTTGATATTATACGCAGGATTAGATTTACGATTATAAGATTCAGTTTGAATCAAGAGATTCAAATAAAATCATGGATGCGCATTGCTGAGGAGTCCCATAATAGGATGAAACGGCCGTTCAGTGCTTCAGTGTTTTTTCCTGGTGATCTAGCTTCGATTGACTCATGATCTTAACTATTAAAATTACTATAATATTTACAAAAGCTTTTCTCTGATGCAAAATGATCATTTATTCAACAGTCAAACTTTTCTCTAAACTGATAGTCGCAAACGTATCCGACTTATCTACGTTTACAATTCTCCATATAAACAATGAATGATTATTGTTATCTTAAAAGCTGAACTTTTTACAAAAACAATGAGCGTTTCATTATCAAATTAACTTACAATTTGAGCACTTTAACATAATACGGTTTTACCTCAAATACATGAAATCATACAATAACAAAGAACTTTCTGAACAGTGGCTACCAATGCAATCTATGATTCCCATTTCTTTCTGTTTTTAGTTGATCAGTTAGATAAACTGTCAGTCATAGAATTTTAGTGGCCCGTTATTTTGACGCTAATTAGATGGAACGTTGATATTGTTGATGGGTTCACCACTTTTTTAGCCCTTTATCTGACCACAATTTGATCGTATGAATGATTATTATTGAAATATGCATGTCGTCAATCCTCGTATAAAATTATCGACTTAAATCGCGTTAGTGAATAGTGTAATTAAATAAATCAAATACAAGAACGGATTTTTGAATACATATGTTGTGTACACTAAATGATCTGGACAAAAAATCAGAGGGATGAAGCGAAGGAAGCAAAGCGAAAAGAGAGAGAAGCAAAATGATGAGTAGTGGAGAAGGCATGTGAACAAACTCAGTTTAATCAAACGTCTGTCGATATTTATAGCCAGACTAAAATAAGTTACAGACATGTGATAAATAAGATAAGAAGTGCACATACATATGCTCATATGAAAGCAGTCAAGGTTGATAAGCAAATAATTGACAACGTCAAAATGAGGTTTATAACAAGAATGAATAAATTGCCCTGTCCGGAAGCTAAATAAGCTATGTGGGCCTAACATAGCAACCGTCATTACAGTGTCAATATTCCCACTTAAAAATTAATCTTATACGTATAGTGCTGCTTTAGGCTAAGTGAAAATTGCACAACAACATACAAGAATAAGTAGTCTGATTACGTAGGCTTTATTTATCATATTAATGAGATTTAAATCTTTGTAAATTTAGTCTGCATAACTAAATTATTCAT